TACCTCTCTAAGGACCATTGAAGTGTAAGCTCACTGGCCAGCATCAAGGATAGCACCTAATATATGGTTTATCATGAAGGTAAACAATTAGTTGATTTGGTAGCGCTGTTTTATAGCTTCCTAGCACCATAACCACTACCATACGTTGAAGTGTTTTTGGAGCTTAGAGGCTCTCTAAGTAACATGCAGTTCTTTCCTAAACCAGACATTTATGGATTTCACCAGGAAGGCATTTGAAGCCCAATCATGTACTAAAAGGTAAATATGTATGTAAGGTATATGATAACCCTAAGCTAAAAAGAGATGGCAAAAAATCACGTATAACGAATATAAAATTAAAAAAAATGCATATGTATGTGCAAAGGTCTGTTTTTAAAAAACCAAAACGAAACATTGATTCTACATCTATTCCTGTTTAATTAGGTTAGCTGTTCAAACACTAACGATATATCCATTGAGATCTAAGAATTGCCTAAAAGTGTTTTGTAAGCGTGGAGCATTTAAATGTGTTTTTGTAAAAAGTGTAAAACACTATAAACAATCAATTCGAAGTACTTATTGGTAAAGTGCTTTAGTATATATACATTTTTTTCTTTCAAACAACTAGTACAAAAACCATCAGCATGGTTATTAAACTGCTTATCTGCATAATATGTTCAAATATTTAACGGCAGTTAAAGGAGCTATTTAAAAGGATTTTCTAAGTATTAGTTTTATCTTTGCCACAATTCACAGAGTGCAACTTAAAGAGTATATTTATAAAACACAGTGATTAATGGTGTTACTACATTTTAGAAAAGTTTTATTTTAGTAAAAAAAAACTTGTTACACGTAACAATATTTTACAGTATGTTTACAGCAGGTTTCTTTGGAGTTTTGACGGAACCTCAAAAAAAAAAAAAACACAAAAAGAATAATAGTGCAGACAATCTACAAATATATATTTAATTGTATTTAAAACACTTGTATACGTTTTTTCAATCCTGTTATATGCATCTCTAAATGTATGGAACAACTATTCTCGCATGCATGGCATACACTGTACCTGTCTAGCTCAATATTGTCTAAAATAAAGAATTTATTGTAAAAAAAAAAAAAAACTTGTATAAGGACAAACTCATAAGAATGGAAAGTAAAATATGGCTCTGTTTCTGTAGCTTTTGGAGTCTACATGAGGAGACTCCCTCCCTTTCTTCTCTTTATGCAATGGCAGATTTGTAAAAGAGGGAAATGAACATATAGTGTAGTATATCTAGATAAAATAATATATATATATATATATATTTTTTTTTTAAAAAGCAATGTATCACACATTTTTCTTTTCTTATAGGCTCTATTTCTCCAGCAAGTGTCTCTCTTAGTGAGACGCTACCCTGTCATGATGAAAGATATTCTCTTTGTAGTAGTGATTAATTAATTTATTTTTAGACAATAACAAATATAAAACCAATTATGTACTGATTAAAAAAAAATAGAGAAATAAAAGCCAAAATATAGCAGGGCTTTCTTTGTCTCTAAAAAGTGTTTCATCACAAATGGTTGCTTCAGCCATTATTTTTGCCCTGTAGATCTTCTGTTTAAATTATCGATTCGTCATGTTTCCAATCAGGTTTTGGCATGCGTACCTCGCCACCTAATGGTGTTTCTCCACGCATTGTTTTGGTGCACCGACTCAAGCCATAGCTCTTTCCTGCTGGTACGATGGCCATTTTGCAGTCCACATATGCGTTCTGCGCCTTATTCCAGATTCTTCATGTATGGTGGCCATTTTGCTTTCCATACTTAGCGTTCCATGCCTCCTTCCAGAGCTTGCGCAGGGCATCTTTAGTTAAGGTCAGGTTTACTATCCAGTCTCTGTAATAATTCACTTTAATGAACTTAAAAATCATGTTAATTAAAATACCAAAAGTCTTATCAACAGTCTCAATGGTTGCAAAGTCCATAAAATATCCAGATATATTTATTTATTTATAAAATCTTTTACCAGGATGGATACATTGAGATTTCTCTCGTTTTCAAGTATCCTACGCTTATTCATGGTATTTCACACTGTACTATCTTAAGCACCTAACACAAATATATATATATACACACACACATATATAAATTTAACATATAACAGGTGGTAAATATATTCAACCATGACAGGTGCATTCTGTGCTGAGGTATATTGCCATAGATCTCTTAAAAGATTTTAGATTGAATGAAGACTTGACAGTGTCCCTGAGGTTATTCCATAATTGCGCTGCTCAGTAGGAAAATGAGGATCGAGCCACTTTAATTTTGTATTGCGGTAAGCTAAATATCGTGGTGGTACTGGATCAGACGTTATAGGAGGTCGGAACAGCTGGGGAGAGCATTATACTCAGGTAGGGCGGAAGCTTCCCAGAAATGCTCTTATGCACAAGGCTGGAAAGATGAAGAGTGAGTCAGAATTCCAGCGATAGCCAGTTTAGCTCTTTTAACATATCACAGTGGTGGGTAAAGTAATTACATTCTAGTAAAAAGCGTCAGAATTAATTATATAACGTATTAACCCCTTAAGACCGGAGGGCGTACTATTACGCCCTATTTTAGGCGGCTCTAAATGCCGCCGGGCGTAATAGTACGCCCTCCGGTCTTTCCTTACTTACCCGGAGCCCCCCCGCAGCAGATCTTCCTCCTCCGGTCCCCCCGGCCATGTGACAGTGAGGTCCTTGCGAGGACCTCACAATCACATGGCCGGGATAGCTGCCTCCTGCATTGCCAGCAGGGGGGCTGCCTGTAATGACAGGTGGTCCCCCTGCTGGCTGAAAATAAAATAAATAAATGTTAAAAGTGTAAAAAAAAATAATATATACTTAGATCATATATATATATACCATATATATATGATCTAAGTATATATATATATATATATATATATATATATATATACACACACATATACATACACACACGTACACTGTATAGGTGTATTTTACTATTAATATATATATAATTATATATATAAAAGGAAAATATGATAGCACTCTCAGGTCTATAAAAATATAAAACTTAACTTTTAATTAGCTTATGCAGAAAAAAATCAACGTTTCAGTCTGCTAGTCACAGACTTTCATCAGGATTCATTATTATTATTATATATATATATATATTAATATCAAATTACACGTAGACTGAATAAAATGATATATAATAAGGGTGGGTGCATTTAATATGAAAGAGGTGAATTACGGTTGGACAGACATGTAGCGCAAATGCCAGGTTTTGTTTACATTTTGTTTCGTTCACAAAGTGTACATTTGGCTCCATCCTTAAGGGGTTAAACTATTGCATCAAAATAAATAAATAAATAAATAAAACAGTTATTGTATAGACGAGATCTCAAAAATATATATAAATAACAAAAACAGTCGCGGGGCTACAAAGCAGACTTTGTTGGGGGCTTGCTTCGTGCCCAGGGAGCGGCCGTCTCTCCCAGGTGCTTGGCTGCAATTTAAGCTAGGCCTCATTGTCAGGCGCCATGTGTACTTATTGTCTCGGGTCAGCTTGATTAGCCTGCCCATTTGTTGCCGGACAGTGTACAAGTCGATTAGGGCTGAATCCAGCATGGTATGAAGCATAATAAGCTTATTTGTTGCTCTATTGTGCTGGAGCTAGTGCCGAACACGTCTGGCCATCTTGGCTGTCAGGCCCCACCCCCCTTAGAAAAACCTTTTTAAAAGCACTTTATGGTTTAGAACCTTTAACATTTAACTGCCGAATAGAAAAGAAGTATTTCAAAATAAAATATTCATTAAAAAAATCCCAGCTTCTTATATAACTATATAGGTCTCCTTATGCGCAAAATGTGTATTACAGGAAGTGCGATCACTCAGCAATTAAAAAAAAAATTACTTCTACCAAACATGAAGAAAATCAATTTGGGAGGCGGAGCCAAGCAACGGAGCTGAATGGCCGCATGTTCGCTAAACTCCAGGCCACCAAACAAATCACCAAGCGATTGAAGGGGTCTTTCACACCCCAAAACCAGGCTAACTGAGCCCACATCACACCCTCACGCTATGGGGAGAAAGACCAAGAAGCCAATGGCTGAGAAAACCCACAACCCCTCACCTAGACTCGGCCCCGGTGACGATGGCAATTATGAAGGGCCTCTTAGCGGAGCTCCACCACACGATCCAGGCCGACATGGCCCAGCTCTGAGGGGACTTACAAGGCCTCATGACCCGCATGGGCGCTATAGAGAGTGACACCCAGAGACAGGCCCAACACACAACCCGTCTTCACACAGCCATACAAGAGCCAACAACCCAACAAAACAAAATGGATAAAAAGCTTGCAGAGCTGGAGGACCGGAGGTGCACATCGAACCTCAAGTTAAGGGGCATCTCGGAGGAGATCCCGGAGAAGGAACTACCACACTTCCTACGTCGACTTCTCACAGGACTGCTAACCCATAAGCAGGCCAAACAGGTGGGAGTGGAGGGGCTATTCCGACTTCGCAAACCAACGACAGCACCAACGTCAGCATCGAGAGATGTCTTGGTAAAGTTCCACAGTGACAAAGACAAAACAGCTCTCATGAATGCAGTCTGAAACAACTCACCGTACCCCTTCGAAGGAATGCAACTGATGTTCTATGCAGATCTGTCCGGAAGCACCATCGCGTGGAGGAGGTCACTTAAGCCTTTTACAGTGTTACTCCGAACCAACAGCTTCACTTACCGATGGCAACTGCAACGCGCACTGGAGATACTACACGGCACCAACACACACTCTGTCAGGGACCTCAAGGAGGCAGCCGACCTGCTACCTAAGCTGGGACTACCAACAAACGCCCTGGACACAGTGCGATCGAGCACAGCGGCATCCCTGCCTCACACCTGGAATCTGTCAACAACACGTCCCTTCATACCACGGGGAGCGCGACAAGAAGAGCGTGCAGCTGTCACTACCTGAGCGGCTCCAGATAGCCTGCAGAGACAGGCCTGAACTTACCTCACCACTGGAGTTGTGTTTTCAGTTAATTCTATTGGATCTCACTAAACTTTACGTTACCGTTATTCACTCATGTTGATGTTACCTACCACGTTTAGATCCCCCACCACTCGCACGTCACCACACCACACATAGTGGGGCACTACATGACAAGCCACCAGACTGCCAGGTCTCACCCTCACCACGTCCCCAGCACTAGCGCTTTCTAATGATAGCACTTCGGAACTCAGAGCCTCCCAACCATACACCGAGCCAAGTCACCCTGGGACTAGAGCCCTTATCTCCATGGGAAACCCCCCAGGGACACACAGCAACAACCCACAGCAGTCCTCACGGGGACCCTGTACACTAACCCACAAACCAGCTATAGCGATCCCGAAATCACAATTGGTACACTTTTTGAATTTATTTATTTATTTATCTTTTTTTTTTTCTCTTTAAAAGCTTTCTCGGCAGGCACCAATCTAAGTACCCCTATCCTGGGCTCAGACGGAGCAGCTCGGGAACCAGAACTGACACACAGGCACACCTACCTTGCCCGCAGCAAGACGGAGCTCTCAGCCCACACGTCACATACAGCACTTATACAATGCTACAAGCGTAGCAAGCAAGAGGCCTTCTTGATGCCTGAGCTCCAGGCTAGGGCTAATCTCAGTTACCACCCGTTATCAATCAGCACACAGCCAGACTTGGATCTCGCAACACATAGCTTCCATACTATCAGTTATTCCACACGCAGACGACACAATCCAAGATTTTATACATGTTCCTATGTTACATTAAGCTCACTTCTGCATTACAAAATATTAAAATACTGTGCATATGCTCATGCCAATGTTCACCCTTTAACCCTCGTGTGCGCTGTTGTGGTGCTTGACTTTAAAATGTACCTACCTGCACAACAAAAATAAAAAACATAAAAAAAAAAAAAAGAAAGAAAATCAAGTAACATATCTACAACAGGACAAACGTTACACAATTAAAGGAACGATATTGTGTTCTGCTCCCCATTTGCCTTTATGTGTGTTCCAAATATAAGTGTTTTCATTACCTTTTTTCCAGCACAGAGGCTCAGTCCATGCAGCCATATGCTCAGCTTACTTCAGGGCCGGACTGTGGATACGAAGCAGCCCTGGAAAAAGATCTATGCCAGCCCCATAAGTCATTGTGCTATGTAGGGTGTTTATATATATATATATATATATATATATATATATACATATATATATATTGAAATAGTTGGCTGCACTCTCGGATTTCCTGAAAATGTAACTTTTATTGCAATATTTAAGAGAAGATCAATGTTTCAGTCCCTCTTGTGGACTTTCGTCATGATCCTGATGCAAGTCCACAAGAGGGACTGAAACATTGATCTTCTCTTTCTATTTCAATAAAAGTAAAATTTTAAGGAAATCCGAGAGTGCAGCCAACTATTTCAATTGCCTATATATATACTGGATACTGGAGCCCTGGTGATGCAACAGTATATATATATATATATATATAAATATATATATATTTTTTTTATTATTATTGATACATTTCTTCTTCTAATTCAAAATATTAGTTCTTTTGGGGTAATTAAATTATACAGTAAAGCATACTCACACACAGACAGACAATTTTACTGATGCACACAAATAGGCTCATTGACAGACAATGACACACACAGACAAGGTTACTGGCGCACACACAAAATTAGTACAGACAAACTCTGATACACACACACAAGCTTACTATAGACAAGCTCACTGTCACACACACACGCTCACTATAGACAAGCTCACTGATGCGCACACACTCTCCCTACAGACAAGCCCATAGACACACACTCCCTACAGAAGAGCTCACTAGCACACAGATTCACTACAGACAAGCTCACTGACACACACATGCTCACTACAGACAAGCTCACGATCACACTCATGCTTACTACAGACAAGCTCACTGTACACACATGCTCACCACAGACAGGCTCCGACACACTCATGCTCCTTACAGACAAGCTCACTAACACACACACACATGATCCCTACAGACAAGCTCACTGACACACATACAAGCTCACTCACTAGCACACACACACACACACAGAGGCAGACAGTCACTGACACCCAGGCAGACAGCCACACACACACAGGCAGACAGTCACTGACACCGAGGCAAACACCCACACATACAAAGACAGGCAAACAGCCACACACATGCACAGGCAGACAGCCACACACTCACACACAGGCAGACAGTCACACACACACACGCAGTCACACACAGGCAGACAGTCACGCACACACAGGCAGACAGTCACGCACTCACAGACAGTCACACACTCACAGTCACACACTCACAGTCACACACTCAGTCAGACAGTCACACACAGACAGTCACACACAGACAGTCACACACTCACACAGACAGTCACACACTCACAGGCAGTCACACAGAGACAGTTACACACTCACAGGCAGTCACACACAGACAGTCACACACTCACACAGTCACACACTCACAGTCACACACTCACACAGACAGTCACACAGAGACAGTCACACACTCACAGTCACACACACTCACACAGGCAGTCACACACAGACAGTCACACACTCACAGGCAGTCACACACTCACACAGACACACTGACCTGCTTCTTACCTCCTGCTTGGAGCTCCTGGAGGCTTGTTGTTGGGGAAGCAGGGACTCCTTCCTGCTTCCCATGCTGCAGTCAGCCAGGTCCCCGTAGCACGTAAGCTCCGCCCCCGCCGCAAATTTTTTTTTTTACTGATCCTGGCAGGCCATGTGTGAACTGTGCCGGCCGCCTGGCTCCCCCTGCTCCCATGGGGCTCTGTGCGGCCGCACAGCTCACACATGGTCGGCCGGGATCACAGGAGCTGTCAGCCCAATGATTAGGGCTGTCAGACCAGCCCCAGGTGCCGCAGCCCACCGGGAAATTTCCCGGTATCCCGGTGGGCCAGTTCGGCCCTGGTTTACTTTCTTGTCCTCCTGGAGGTTGTCTCCTCATCATATTCTTGTCCACTCCATTGCTTCTCCTAGAAAAGCAATGAATTCAGCACATCCCTATGATAAGCATTAAAAGACGTTTGATGTTCTCATGCCATACATGAGGACGTCGAATGATACAGAAGGAGCAGTAGGACATTAGGAAGACAGCCACTAGAAGTTTGTTTAGCCATGCACTGTTTTACATTGAGATTAAATGGTCTGGTTGCAGTAGTGGTTCTCTTATAATGTAACATACAATATATAGGTAACATTGGAAAGATTAGAGAAAATTTATTGATACTTACCGTAATTTTCTTTTCCTGGCTATTATTCATTGCAGCATTTAACATATGGGTTTAGCTCCTCCCTCCAACCCTCAGGACAGGAAACACAATCAATTAAACAATTAAGCCTACCTTCCCCTAGTATATTAGGTACCCCAGTATCCTCCACACCTCAGTCTAGTAACAAGACAAATAAACCAAGAGAGGGTGGGAGACCAAATGCTGCCATGAATAATAGCCAGGAAAAGAAAATTACGGTAAGTATCAATAAATTTTCTCTATTCCTGGCTAATCATGGCAGCATTTAACATATGGGATTACCAAAGCAATAACCACTCAGGGAGGGTAAGTCATGCTACAAAAACTGTTTAATATCCACTTAAGGCTTATAAGAGTTCAGGACCGATAGGCCAAACTCTGAATCAGAACGAGATGAGATATCCACTCTGTAGTGGTGTACAAAGGTTTTTAAAGATGACCAATTGGCAGCTTTACAGATGCTCTCTGCAGGAACTCCTGACTCTGCAGCCCATGAAGTAGCAATGGACCTTGTGGAATGTGCCTTGATGTCCTTGGGAACTGGAACCTGTTTAGCTTTGTAAGCTTTAGAAATAGCCTGAACCGTCCAAGAATGAAGGGTTGCGACAGAGGCAGCTTCACCTTTACGAGAACCCCAAGGTATCACAAACAATTGGGTAGACTTCCTCCAATCAGCTGAGCGTGAAATATATGTGGAAAGACACCTCCTTAGGTCTAGCGTATGACATCTTTCTTCCTCAGGAGACGATGGCTCCTGAAAATACCCTGGCAGGACAATCTCTTGATTCAGATGAAAGGATGTAACCACCTTAGGAAGGAACTCAGGTCTAGGCCGTAGCACAACTCTATCATCGAAGAAGGTAGTGAACGGTTCTTCAGACGACAGTGCTCTAATATCTGACATTCTCCTAGCAGATACCAAGGCCAGTAACAACAGGGTCTTGAGAGAAAGAACCTGCATAGAGACCTCATCAATAGGTTCGAAGGGATGTTCCGTCAAGGCCTGCAGAACCAGAGGCAAATTCCAAGGAGCAGAGAAAACCTTGATAGGAGGTCTGATCCTAATGACTGCTTTGAAGAAGCGAATTACAATAGGATTCAATGCCCAACGAACACCGGAAAGAGCTGAAAGAGCAGAGCAGTGCACTTTAAGCGTGTTAAGTTGAAGGCCCCTCTCCAGGCCTGCTTGCAGGAAACCCAAAACCTGAGACACGGAAGGGGAACCTAATTCTTGAACCGTGGAATTACACCATCGAGCAAAGGTTTCCCATACCTTATGGTACGTAGAAGAAGTAGAAGGATTCCTGGAACGTAACAGGGTAGAGATAACCTGGTCCGAAAGGCCATGTTCAACTAGAGACTTCCTCTCAATAGCCATGCATGGAGCCTGAATTTGTGAGGCTCCGGATGAAACACTGGACCCTGAATCAGCAGGTCTTCTGGGACTGGAAGTTCCCAAGGCAGGTCCACTGATAACCTCTGTAACAGGGGAAACCAAGGGCGACGAGGCCAGAATGGAAGTACAGCTATCACCTTGCAATGTTCCTTGGAGATCTTTCTCAGAACAGCGTGGATGAGGGGAATTGGAGGAAAAACGTAAGCCAGATCGAATACCCAATTGATGGATAGAGCATCCTGAGCAACCGCCTTTGGATGGTATCTCCTCGACACAAAGCATGGAACCTGCGCATTCCGAAAGGTCGCCATGAGGTCTACTTGGGGAAGACCCCACTTCTGGACCAACCGAGCGAAGATCCTCCTGGAAAGTTGCCATTCTGAAGCCTCTATCCGATGTCTGCTGAGGAAATCCGCTATTACATTCTCCTTCCCTGGGAGATAGATGGCACACAGGCCTTCCACATGATTCTGAGCCCAGGTCATAATGGGAACTATCTCTCTCCTCAGGGCTACACTCCTTGTTCCGCCTTCATGGTTTATGTAGGCAGCAGCCGCTTTGTTGTCCACTCTCAACTTGACCCAGCAATGCCTGATGAGATGCTGAAAATGAAGAAGCGCCAGAAAGGTTGCTCTTAGCTCCCTGATGTTGGAAGGCAAGCATTGAGTTCTTG